CCTTATGTGCTCTGAGCTATGGAAGCAACAAGAGTTGTTGCTTCTGGAACCAGAGAACTCACCTGCCTCCTTTCCGCTCAAACCAGGAGAATGGGTCTACTTTTCTTCTCCAGGGGAAAGATTCCCCACTAACCCCAAAATGGGAAGGGCCATTACAGGTAGTCCTGTGTACACCCAATGCTGCAAAACTCCAACAGGAAGGAAAGAAACTAACCCCCTGGATTCATATTTCTAGGTTAAAACCAGCGGCAAGCCCTCCAGAGGACAATCCCACCACAGCTCCCAACTTGCAGGACCCCCACAATCGCCCAGATTTACCTGTGAGATATCCCCAGATAACCCTCTCAAGCTCCATTTTTTGGAGTCATGCACCACCCTTCATCCCATTCTGGAGAAGAACATACATAAGAATGGGCCTCCTGATAGGATCTAGGAACCCACAGCAACACAGTACACCCACACCCTTTTTAGAAATCAGCATTTGGCACAACAATCCTATTGGGACCTCTTCACAAACCCCATCAGCTGCTGGATTCTCCCGATACTGGGACCTCTAGTTGGTCTTTTTGTTCTGTGCCTTCCTTCCTTGCATTTTAAAATTCCTTCAAGGACAAATTAACAAAATCTCTAACCAAACTTTCAATCAGCTCCTCCTCAGGGATTACCAGCTACTTGCCAACGAGCCAGATGACATGCACATCCAGTCATCCCAAGAAACCTTCATCGAGTGCTGAAAGATGAAGATACCGAATGACAACTGCACAGAAGGGCCATCTCTACCCCTCCATGCCAAAGAAATAAGCCCTTGGTTTTCAGCTTTGTGTTCTAATCTGCCTTCTCCTGGGCATAGGCTTTTTCCCTACCAGCCCTACAGACTGGACGACATGCCAGAAATTAATGCTGTTTCTTTTCATAGTTGCAGGGCACATTCTTGGACTTCTCCCCAGAGGAAATCCATGCCTTCAGTGCATGGATATGGGGCCTCCTGGCCCTTCTTCTCCAACAAACTGACCTCCCTCCCTCCCTCTAAACTACGCCCCTACTCAGCAGGAAGTAGCCAGATCGAGTACGACGCACCCAAACCAAAACAAAAAAGGGAGGAATGTTGGTAAAGATGGCGCCCTGAGTGCTTCTCTTCCGGGAGCTCAGGTCCATGACGCACTGAAGGCGCGAGAACCATCACCTCCAATCCCTGTGAATGGCGTGAACTTTGAATGGCGCACCTCCAATCCCTGAAGTGGCGTGAACTCTCAGCCAATGTAGAAGTAACAGCCCACTCGCCTTGCTCCTCCTCATCCTGTGTTAAGCCCATAAATATCAATACCCTGTTCATGTTCGTTCTCTTACTCTTACTCTCTCTCCTCCCTCTCTTCTCTTTCCTCCCTCTCTTCTCTCTCCTCTCTCTCCCCCCTCCCCCCTCTCGCCCCCCTCTCCTCTCTCTTCCTTCCCCGTCTCCTCTCTCTCTCTCCCCCTTTCTTTTCTCTCTCTTTCTCTCTCTCTCCCCTCCCTTTGCTTCTGCTACTGGCCGCTACAGTCCTGCTAATAAAATCTCGGACAGGTAAACAGTTGTTTTGGCTTGTTGAGTTTACGGAGCTTTTCCATGGTCCTTTACACCCAGCTCTTATTTTTCTATTTTTTTTTTAATTTTTTTAATAGCTTTTGGCGGACACAACATCTTTGTTAGTATGTGGTGCTGAGGATCGAACCCGGGCCACACGCATGCCAGGCGATCTCCCTACCGTTTGAGCCACATCCCCAGCCCCATTTTTCTATTTTTTAAACAAGGCTGAGACCAAACATTTTTTTTCAAGTATTTTTATTAGTTATAGATGGACAGAATGCCTTTATTTATTTTTTATGTGGTGCTAAGATTCGAACCCAGTGCCTCACATATGCTAGGCAAGCGCTCTACCACTGAGCCACAATTGCAGCCCCCAAACAGTTTTTATATAGAGATATTTTAACAGGAATCCAGAGGCTCAAACCCTGGAAGTGGAGTTGACAGGTCAAATTTTTATTTATATTATGAAATATTTCTGAGATGTGGAAAGAATGGAGAGTAAATATATGAAATCATTAGCGTTGTCCTCTGAGGCTTCTGACAGCATTCCTTCATTCCCACTCCAGTCCCAGTCCTGGGTTGATCGTCGCCTTGTACTTTTCTATCCTTTTGCAGCAGGTATCCACACACAACTCACACAATGCTCACGTATTTTAAAACGTTGTAAATGGGCCAGGCATGGTGGTGCTCACCTGAAGTCCACTACTTGGGAGGCTGAGACAGGAGGATTGAGACTTTGAGGCTATCCTGGGCAACATACTGAGACCCTATCTCAAAAACAAAAATAGAGCTGGGGCTGGGGATGTGGCTCAAGCTGTAGTGCACTCGCCTGGCATGCGTGTGGCCCGGGTTCGATTCTCAGCACCACATACAAACTAAGATGCTGTGTCTGCCAAAAACTAAAAAATAAATATTAAAAGATTCTCTCTCTCTCTCTTTAAAAAAAAAAAATAGAGCTGTCAACATTTCAAACACCAGTTAGGAACCACTGGGACTTTATCAGTGGCAGGCCTGAGAATGCTGGGTTAAGGTTTTTATTTTTAAACCTTTTTGCACTGCTGGGGATTGATCCCAGGGCTGCTTTATCATTGAGCTAGCTCCCTAGCCCTTTGTATTTTCTATGTTGAGACAGGTTCCTGCTAAACTGCCCAGGCTGGCCTCAAACTTGCAATCTCCTGCTTCAGCCCCCAAGTGCCCAGGATTACAGGCATGTGCCACCATGCCTTGCAAATCTTCACGAGTTTGTTGATCCTGTAGGGTTTAGGATGTGTGCCAGGGTCATCTGGTGGGCAAAACAGCAGTTATGTTTGTTCAAGATGGCTTTGGTCAGTCAGGAGTGGTGGTGTAAACCTGTAATCCCAACTACCTGTGAGACCGAGGCAGGAGGATGGCAAGTTCAAGGTCAGCCTGGGCAGTTTATCAATATAATAAAATAAAAAGGGTTGGGGAGGTAGCTCAGTTGTCGAGTGCCCCTGGGTTCAATCCCAGTACTGAGGGATGCAAGTAATGGCATTTGGCTATGTAGACTGCTACACCGGAAAAACCTTGTGCTGGGGTTGTTGGAGTGGATAAGGAAGTGCGGGTTCGTCTGTTTTCACCACCTGCAATGTTGCTTTGTATGACTACAGCAGGATCCACTTGTCCATTCTTTACATGCTGGATGCTGGGACATTTTCTTTTTTTTTTTTTTTTTTTTTGCTGGGACATTTTCATTTCTTGCTGGAGAAACACTGGCGAGAGTCTTGTATAATCTCCTCCTTCCATTCAAGAGCCCCAAGTAGAAGGGCTGTACTCTTGAGGTTCATACCTACTTAGAATGTCTGGCAACTGAGCATTTTGCGGGGTTCTGTACATATGCTGTCTCCCCTTCCCTGGATAAAGCTGCTTCTCCCCTCTGAAGTTGGTGGTCTGTCTCTCCCGGTCTGAGGGCACTATGTTGACCAGGTCAGTCACCCCAGGGGTCACCCTGCCTTAGTTCTGCCACCTCTGCCCACCTGTGTTGCTATGCAGGTTGCAGGGCCACTCAAGGACAAGACCCCAGATCTGATTCTCCTCTGACTGCACTGGACCTGCCCAAAGTGATGGTGACCAGAGGAAGGTGTGGTCACCTGTAGCTGGAGTGATGCTGGGGTGAGGGAGCACTGGAGGGATTAGGGTGAAGCATGGAGCTGGGGAAGCTAGAAGCAAACTGGTGTGTTTGTTTTATAGATGAAAACCTGAAGCTCAGAGATGGCAAGACACTTCCCCAAGGTCAAAGGCAAGGCAGAAACTGTCATCCATACATTCAATTTGCATTTACAAAGCACTTACTGTGTGTCATGCATTGTTCTAAGGGCTACAGTGGAAAACAAAACAAAGACCTCTGCTCAAGTGTGGAGCTTATTATTCTGGACGTAATTATGATGAATTGCTAATTATGTTTGCCTCAGAATGAAGCAAGGGGTGATCCTAATTAAGGGGGTTCCCCAGGGGAGCAGGTCTTGTCCTCAAAGCCCCTATTTCTCAGTGGTCCCTCTTTCCCACGGTTCGTATTGCATGAAAGCCCCCACAGAGTGCTTGCGGGGACACCTTTCCAGAAAGAACCCGGGGAAGTGGGAGAGGGAGTGGCCTAGGAGGGTGGGAGGAGAGTCCTTTGTAGCAGGCCGGGCTGTCACTAAAGTTCTGTCGCCTTGGCAACCGCAGGCCTCGCGGGGCGCGGGGAAGGGAGGCGACAGCACGTTCCTTTTCTCCCGCCCGGATTTCTCCCTCTTGTGGCTGAAAAAGAAAGAGAATGGGGAGGTCGCGACTCTGGAGGGACCGGCGGGAGCCTTAGCCAGTGGAGAGATGGCCCTTCCCAAGGTTAGCCAATGACATACAAGTTCTGAAGCCGGCACAATCCGCCCTCTTTCTTCTCGAACCAGAATAACCCGACCCCACCAGAGTTTCGCTCCGAGCGACCGCGCTTTCCTCCAATGAGGGCGTTGACTTGGGGCAGAAGCAGAGGAGGAGGCGGGAAATGTCTCCATGGGGAGCCGCTGACGGACAGCGGCGTGAGCCACTGGCAGCAGTTCACAGCGCTTGTTGGCAGGGCGGGCGTGGCGGGGTTTTGTCGGGGCACCGAGGGGGGCCGGGAGGGGAGGGAAAGAGTGAGACTCGGCCAATGGAAGTGGCGCCAGAGCCAGAGCCACGGCTGAGTGGCGGTGGTTTTGTCCAATAGGAGGTCGTGGCGGCTGTGGGGGCGGGCCCGCGGAGCGGGCGGGGTGCAGCGACTGGGTCTGACGAGAGCCGGAGGAGGCAGTGGGAGGTGGCGGCGGCGGCAGCGCGGGCGCCTGAGGAGGAGGAGGAGGAGGAGGAGGAGGAGGAGGAGGAGGAGAAGCGGGTGAGGGGCGGCGCGGGGCCCGACCTCTGAGCCCCTTCTCGGCCCCCGCCCCGCGCCGCCTGGCTCCCAGTCGCCCCCCGCCCCTGCTGCCCCCGGCCCTTCCTCGCGCCCAGGCGCCCACGTCTCCCCGCCCCGGGCGGGCCTCGGGCTCGGGCTCGGCCGCGGCTCCTTCCCGTGGTTCCTCACTCAGGACCCTCCCTGCCCCTCTCGCCCGCACCGCTTCTGCGTGTACTCCAGGGCCGGCTCTGGCCCGGGGTCTCCCGGCCTCCGCACCCCGGGCCTTCCTCCGACGCTCTCCCTGCACCCAGTGCCCTCCCCGACCCCTCTCAGCCCAGGCCTTTCCCTGCTCTTACTCCCCAGGTCCCTTCCGGGACCTCGGATCGCCCTCAGATCCTCCACTTGACCTTCCTGGACCCCCCAGGCCCTGCCCCTGGACCCTCAGTGCCTTCCCAGGCTTCTCCCTAGGACCCCCCAGGCATTCCCCAGGCCCTTCCCTCGCCTCCTGGGAGCATCCAGACTTTCCAAACCCGGTTCTTCCCCAGGCTCCACCCTAGACTCCCCAGTCTTTGCCTGGCTTGTCCCGGGATCCCAGGGATCCCAGGCCTCCAAATCTCCCCTCGCCTTCCTGGGCTTCCCCCTGGACCCCCAGGCCTGCCCCAGCACTTCCCGGAAGCCCCCCACCCCAGGCCCTTGCCGTTGCTCTTCCTTCCCCCTGCCCTTCCTCCTGGCTTGATTTTTTCTTTACCCACATGCTGCTCCAGCCCCAGTGTTTTTCCTAGTGCGCTCCTGCAGTACCCCCTCTTCTTTTGCCCCCAGCCTTCCTGTCTTTTCCAGACCCCTCTCCCAGCTGATGTAGCTTCTGATGTCTCTGCTGCTCCCCCTCCTTGCCGGTCGGTCCCCATCTACCCCTCTCCCAAGACACAGATGGGCCTGAGGCACCATGGTATGGGTACACAGCAGACCCTCCTTCAGAGTTAGGGTTTGTTTTGTTGTTTTTCTTAATCTCTTCGTTTTCTCTCATTCTTGCTCCTTTCCCCCCTTCTTTTGATCTGTTCCACTTCTCTGTACTAAATTCCTTTCCTCCTCCCCCGCTTTTGTCCTGAGCACCCCCATCCTTGGAGAGGGCGCAGGTGCTGAGACCCTGCCTGCTCTCCCTCCCCTCTTCCCCTCCTGGCTGCCTGGGGCTTCACCCAAAGCCTCCTAGCCTCTCCGGAGGGCTGCTAGGGAGTACATGGTGGAGACAGTGGCCCAGGGAGGGGGGAAGGTGGGTCCTGGGCATATTGGGAACACTGGCTTTTTCCCAAGCTCCCCTGACTCCTGCCTCCTGCCGTGCTGAGCTTTTTAGAGTTATCCCAGACTCCAATTAATCAGCCTCCCTGAGCCCACAGGGACTTGTCTGCCTGCCACCCAGTGGGCTCTGCATGTACGGGAGGCCTGCAAGGGTGTGCGTTTGCAGGGAAGGTTGTTGCGTGAGTTTGGGGGTTCGTGCCTGCACTGCAGAGCTGGAGGGGTGGAGGTGCTAAGCTGCAGGCTGATCTGTCACTGGGTGTCTCCATTGTCAGAATACTTGTTGCATCTCACCCTCTGAGAACCCTGTGAAGTCAGTGCTGCTGTTCTCACATTCCATTCTACAGATGAGCAGACTGCAGGGCCCCTCAGTGTCTCAGGCAGCTTCTGAGTGGCTCAGGGCACGCCCCCCGCCTGTAGCTCCTTGGTGCCCTCTGTGGTCTGCCAGAGGCAGCATGGTCCCTGCAGCACCATGGGCCCTGACAGAGTGACAGCCCGAGAACTGTGTGAGAACGACGACCTGGCCACCAGCCTAGTCCTGGATCCCTACCTCGGCTTCCGAACCCATAAAATGAACGTAAGGTGAGGTGAGGTGGCCTCGGGGCAGGGGTATGCAGCCTGGGGGCAAGGGTAGGGTGGGTGAGACCTGCTCCTTGGTGGCCTCAGCCCATCCTCGCAGCTCCAGGTGGGTTGGGGGCACTGCCAGGAAGGCCCTGGGACTCAGGTGTGCCCTCTCCCCCAGCCCTGTGCCCCCCCTGAGGCGACAGCATCACCTGCGCTCAGCGCTGGAAGCTTTCCTGAGGCAGCGGGACCTGGAGGCTGCATACCGGGCCCTGACGCTGGGAGGCTGGATGGCCCACTACTTCCAGAGCCGGGGCCCGCGGCAGGAGGCTGCCCTCAAGATCCACGTGAGGGAGCTCCTCCCAGCCCCCTGTGGCCCTAATGCCCACCCTTGGGACACCTGAGGAGACTCAGAGAATCCTAGGAGAACAGCCCTCTAAGAGTCCTACCTCTTTGACAGATGAGGAAATTGAGACCCCAAGAGGGGATACAAAGCCCCAGAGCACACAGCCAGTCGGTGGTAGAGCAGGCCTAGCCTCAGAGAGCACAGGAGCCCCCACAGCTGCCCCTGCTCATCTCCTCACTCCGTACCCCACACCTCATAGGTCTTTCGCTACCTCCGCTCCTTCCTGCCCGAAAGCGGCTTCACCATCCTGCCCTGCACCCGCTACTCCATGGAGACCAACGGGGCCAAGATTGTGTCCACCCGTGCTTGGTAAAAGGGCCTGCAGGGAAGGGAGACCAGCTCCTCTGCTGGAGGTGCAGCCCAGATAGGTCGGGAGCTGGGAGGATTTGAGACACTAGCACTGCCCCCTGGAGTCCGCAGGCTGGAGCCTCAGCTTCCTGGATCCCTCTAGAGCAAGAGGCCGCCCCCAGCAGAGGCGTGCTCAGAGCCCTGTGCCCTGGCCTCTTGGCAGGAAGAAGAATGAGAAGTTGGAGCTGCTGGTGGGCTGCATCGCAGAGCTGCGGGAGGCGGACGAGGGGCTGCTGAGGGCTGGGGAGAACGACTTCAGCATCATGTACTCTACCCGTAAGAGGAGTGCACAGCTGTGGCTGGGCCCCGCCGCCTTCATCAACCACGGTGAGGGCGGGACTTGGGTGGGCACTGAGGGCCAGGTCGCTGCCCTCACTTGCTCACCACGTCTCTTCTCTCCCCCTCATCCGATTGGCTGCAGACTGCAAGCCCAATTGTAAGGTAAGGCCTGCAGAGCCAGAGAGGAGCCAGTATGTGGGAAGTGAGGGGTCAGCCGCCTGGAGGAGTGATTGGGGCCAAGAGAGCCTGAAAGCATCCAACCTGACAAAGAGGTTTGGTCACAGTGCCCTGCACAGACAGTGGGAAAGCATGTGTTTCCCGGTGGGCTGTTCATGCAGTCATGCTAGCACCCAGCTTGCTGGCTCCAGCCCTCTGAAAGGGAGGCCAAGTGGGATAGGGAGTCACATCACACTTAGTGACAGCCAGGGCCCCTCACCCCAGCTTCTCCTGTAGATAGCTGTGAAAGAGACCCCCAGTGATAAGGAACTGGGGCTCCACAGGAAACTCTGGGTGGCCCAGCAGCAGGAAGAATGCTGCTGGCTTGGAACACAGAGCCAAGGGATCAGGAAAGGCGAGAGACCATGAGGCCTCGAGTGTTCTCTGTGCAGCCATTGCTGGGTGGGGTTCTGGCTACATTGCCTGGCTTTGGGTTTCTTTTCTCAGATGCCCCTATTGTAGGGGTCACATGGTGAACATCAGATTCAGAGGATCTGGGGATGAATGAGACACGGCCCTTGCTTAGTCATCTCACCCTGCACCTAGACACAGGGTGGGATGGAAACCCAGATGGGCACAGGAGGGAGTAGCCAGCTCGCTTAGTGATCCGGAGCCCACAGACTTCACACGAAGTGACACCACACTGGGTGTTGAGGAAGAGCAGGATTTTCCTAGGTGTTGGAAGAAAACAGGGGCATGAGAAGGCATTCCAAGCAGGATATGTCATGCCAGAAGGCCTGGCTGGAATGAGGCGTAGTGTGCCCTGGGATGCCATGGTCTAGGTCAGGGAGCCATGGACACTCCAATCAAGTGCATAATAGGAGGTTCACTGTCTAGACAGTGATGGCAGCAGGTGTGCAGAAGCCTTAGTGGGAAGGGACAGGGTGGCCTTGCAGACTAGTGTGTCATGGAGCTTGAGCTGATGAGGGACTGGCTGCAGGAGCTATCCAGGGACCAGAAGAGGACAAAGATGCAGAAGGTGCTCGTCAGTTGGCCTGGAGACCATCAGGCAAGGAGGCATTGAAGGCCACTTCAGGCAAGTGTCAGGCTTGAGTAGACAGATGGATAGTGTTCTTGCCCCTCCTTTAGGGAGTGTAGAGGCAAGTGTGATTATGGAGAAGGCGAGGAACCCAAGGGACAGCCCACTGGGCAGGTGATCACAGAGTCAGGGAGGAGGATATGGACACTGGGCTGCAGAATGCACAGGAAGGGGGGCTGCCCAAGGCAGGCTGACAGTGAGCAGCTGTAGGGGTGCATTCAGGGGTGGGTCTTGGCACAGGCCAGAGCAGCCTGAGGAAGTGTGCGGGAGGGAGCTGTTACCCATACTGGTGCTGCATTGTGCTGGGAGGTCAGGGCAGCTCATCTCTTCCTGCAGGGAGGGGTGGACACCAGCCAGCAGACAGATCGCTTACAGGCTGAGAGCATAGGACAGGCCCTGGATGGGGTAGCCATCTCAGAATGGTGTTTCTTGGTGGGTCAGCCGTGACCTATTCCAGGAGAGGACTCTTGAACCTACCTGGCTAGGCTGAGGGAGGGGGTCAGGCCCAGCCTATGCCTCAGGCGGGTGTGCTAAGTGGGCACGGCCTCAGTTTGTGCCTGCAGATGGGAACACAGCTTGTGTGAAGGTGCTGCGGGATATTGAGCCAGGGGATGAAGTGACATGCTTCTACGGTGAGGGCTTCTTCGGGGAGAAGAATGAGCACTGTGAATGCTATACCTGTGAGAGGTGGGCACAGGCTGGGGGCAGGTGGGATGGGGACAGGCCAGCTGGCCCCAGGAGGCATCCTGGGACCAATCCTTGAGCACATCCATCCCCAGCTGCCCCCTTGCCTCCCTGTTACTTGCCCCTCAGGAAAGGTGAAGGAGCCTTTCGACTTCAGCCCAGGGAGCTGCAACAGCCACCACAGCTCCTGGACAAGTATGAGCTCCGGGAGACCAAGCGACGCTTGCAGCGAGGCATGGACAGAAGCCGGCAGAACCTGCTGGGCCCGCGGGCCTGCACTCACCTGTCCCCACTGCATTGGGACCCATTTTGTGGTGAGCACAGACCGATGGGACCCTCCTGCCCTCTCAGACCTGCTGTTGAACACCTCTTCTTGCATTTCTTTTCTGAAGAGCCTGGTGCAGAACAATCCATTTTCCATTGGAAGACCTACCCAGGCCCTCCTGACATGGCCTCCCTTTTCTCTCCCTCTCTGGTCCCTCTGTGTCCCTTCAGCTGCCTGTCAGCCCCTGCACCTGCCACCCTGCGGCCCCCGCTTGGACATCTCACCCCTCTGGCTCCAATGGCTGCCTAAGCCCCAGCCTCGAGTGCGCCCCCGGAAACGCCGACGCCCCCGGCCCCGTCAGGCCCCCATGCCCCCCACTGTCCGTGCTGCCTACATCTCCCTCCACCGATGGGGAGGCTGTGGCCCCCACTGCCGCCTGCGGGCTGAGGCCCTGGTGACTCTGGGCCTTCCCCCTCGCACCCACTGGGCCCCCCAGCAGGACTGGCACTGGGCCCGGCGCTACGGGCTGCCTTATGTGGTGCGTGTGGACCTCAGCCGTCTGGCCCCTGCCCCACCAGCCTCCCCTGCCCCAGCTGATGCCCTAGGCCCCATCCCCATCCCTAAGCAGGCCCTTGCTTTTGCCCCCTTCTCCCCGCCCAAGCGCCTGAGGCTGGTGGTCAATCATGGCTCCATTGACCTGGATGTCAACAGTGGAGAGCCGTGACTGGTCAGGCAGGGGGGTCCAGGCAGGGTGGGGAAAGTCTTTCTCTTAGACACCCCACCAGACCCAGAAGGAACCTCTTGAGAAGGAGCTGACCCTTGACTCCAGCACAGTTCTGACCCTGGGACGGGGTTGGTTAGGACATCCCCAGGGATCTGATACCCAACCCTCTATGACTGCTGACCCCTGAGCCACCCCCACACCCAGCAATGAGCCCTGGCCATTTGCTGCCCTTGCCCCCACTCAGGACCACAGGAGCCATCCCCTCCCCTCAGTCCTTCCACTCCAGGGAGAAAAGCCATAGTGCGTGGGGACCACTCTATGGCATCTCCCCAGAAGCCCAGGCCTCATGAGGAGGTAGAACTGACTCGGGGGTGGCCCTCCTAGAGACTGCCCCCATGATGGGGAGTGGATGTGCTCCCGACTCTGCAGCTGTGAGGTAGGGGCAGGTTGGGGGCCGTGGTGTCTGGGCACATTCTCACCACCCCCACAGGTCTCAGGGAGGCCGGGTGCGACCTTATCTTTCTCATGGTGCTATCCCTGGTGCTACTGGGGTATGCGAGCTTCTCCATTCCCCACACCAGAATGGGGTATGTTGGGGGATTGGAAGCACTTGAACTTTTTATTTTATTAAAAACCTTGTTATAAGCAGTACCCTTGGAAATTTCTTGATACCTCAGCCTGCTGGGGAGGTGAGGAGGCGGCTCAGCCCTTGGGCTGTGAGCTGTCGTGAAAGGGTAAAGAGCAGTGGGTTCTGAGGTCGCAGAGTATGGAGGCAGAAGCCCCATCACCCTTCAGACTGCTCCCTGAAAATGCCTTCTGACCCAGGAGGAAACGACTCTCCTGTTTTCCATATGAGGTAACTGAGGTCCAGGAAGCAGAGTGACTTACCCAGGGCACATGGGGACTTGAGCACCCTTCTCTCAATTGTTAAGTCAGACATCCCCACCCAGCTGGATGGGCCTGGCCAACCAAGGAGGTGGCCCTGGTATGCCTTTCTCTGTTCTCAAGCAGGTCTCATTTCCTGTATGTGTGGGAGAGGTCGGGGGGCAATACTGGGGATTGAATCTAGGGTGCTCTATCACAGCTCCATCCCCAGACCTTTTTATTTTTTGAGACAGGTTCTCACTAAGTTGCTGAGACTAGCCTTGAGCTTGCCTTCCTTCTGCCTCGGCCTCCCAAGCCACTGAGATTACAGGCTTGGGCTAATAAGTCCTGCTATGTCTTGTTTCTTTTAATCTTTTTTGTAATTGTAGATGGACAGCATGCCTTTATTTTGTGTTTATTTTTACGTGGTGCTGAGGATCGAACCCAGCGCCTCACATGTGCAAGGCAAGCGCTTTGCTACTGAGCCACGCCCCAGCCCCTGCTGTCTTGTTCAAGTCCAACCCAATATCTTGATTTTTGTTGTCCCCTAAAGCCTTGTTTGACAGGATAGAATAGTAATGGCTCAGCTGCTGACTGGCCAGCACTTCACAGACTCTAGGCTTCCCCTGAGCACCTCACAGATGTCCTCATTAGACCACACTAACTTCTACAGTTCACGTGTGGGCTGCAGGCCAGCCAGCTGTGGACACAGTCACCCTGGGCAGGCAAGGCCCCAGGCATCTGTACTAGCAGCCCATCCTCAGCCTGGTGGAAAAGGAACCTATAGGAAAGTGGAGGCAGCACTGGGCCACGTGGGCTGTGGATGGTCTGGGCAGGGTACCTTGGCAGTGGACTTGAGAAATGTTTTTTCATATAAAATTTACTTGCATAGATTGACTGGGCCTATCATTCCTTTTGCAAAGGGAAATCTTTCTTACAGTGCCATTCCTGCTGAACCCTGCTGTTTCTCCCTCCTATTCCTAATGAGGAGGAGGGGACTCCAGGTCACTCAGCAGTTATGAGGGAAAGAGAGCTTTGCTGTAATGGGCACTAAAGAATTTATCTTCCTACAGAAATTGAAGCAATTACTTTTTTTTTTTTTCTTTTTGATACTGGGGATTTAACCCAGGGGTGTTTAACCCCTGAGCCACATCCCTAGCCCCCCCCCTTTTTTTTTTAGAGACAGGGTCTCACTGAGTTGCTAAATGCCTCACTAAGTTGCTGAGACTGGCTTTGAGCTCTCCATCTTCCTGCTTCAGTGTCCTGAACTGCTGGGATTACAAGAGTGCCCAAAAGTGATTGCTTTTTGAAATTCAGGCATTGTCACCATGGTTTCTAGACAGAATGCTTTAAAAAACAAAAACCAGAATGATAGCAGAGCAGGGGTTCTTATCCCATGATTTGTGGACTGGAGACTGGAACTTCTACACACCTCTTGAAACCCTAGTCTAGTTTATGTTCTGAATACTTATTCATGTGAACTTTTTTTCCTGGGGATTCACAGCCTTCATCAAAGTCTCAGAAGTATATCCACCTGGGCCAGGTTGTGGCTCAGTGATAGAGCGCTTGCCCAGCATGTGTGAGGCACTAGGTTTGATCCCCGGCACCATATAAACAAAGGTATTGTTGTCCATCTACAACTAAAAAAAAAAAAAAAAAAAATTTAAAGTATCCACAACCCAAGGGAAAAAAAGGTTAAAAATCAGTGGTTAGAGCACTAAAAACAAAGAGGGCTGGGGTGCAGCTCAAGTAGAGTACTGCTTAGCGTGTGTGAAGCGCCCCAGCATGAGAAGATGGCACTCTTTATGTATCGAGATGGGCTGCCAGCACAGCCCTGAGAGGTGAGGTATGTCCAGGGTTATCTTTTATATAGACAGGAACACATGGAGAGGGTAGCCCTGCCCAATGTTCCCTGGCTGGGATTCCCACACTGACCACGGGGTGCCACAGGGAAGCTCTGGGCACTAGCCCACTGGTGGGACCTGGAGGTTATTCCAGTGGAGCTGGAGCTAGATGTCATGAGCTTACATGGTGGCTCAGTCACCAGAAAGGAAGAAACTGCTTGGGAAGAGGGAATTGTCTGAGGGTTGATGGGTTAAGTCCCAGGCCTGAGGACTCCATCATATGTGTGGGGACAGCAGGAAACTGGGAAGGAACAGAGAGACTGTGGTAGTCAGGCAGAAGCAGATAGAAGTTAAAACAGAAAACGGTGAGAGACAACATGGGACCCAGGTGTTGTCATGTGCCAGGCACCTGTACTATTCTCAGACTTGGCGGGCAGGGGCCCTGTCATGAAGACCCTCCATTCTAGACTCAGCTCCTACCTATGGGAGTGCTTTGTGACCCTTTGTGCTGAGCTCAAGTAGACCAGATGCCTCCAGGAGCTACAGGACTGTAGTGATGGGTCATCCCTCTGCCCATCTAGTCCCCCACTGTCCAGCACAACAGTACACACCAGAGTTGAGTTCTGTACTCTGCTGGTGACTCCAGTTGTTTCTGTAGACAGCCCACACGCTGAGGACAGCTGGGCTCATCCAGCTTCTCTACATTCTCACCCTCTCCCACAGCCCTGGGAAGCATGGGTATCATCACCGTATTGGGGCCGAAAGTTCACAGTACAAGGGTCTAGGGGGTCTATCCCGGGTCATGTGACTGGCCAGTTGCAGTCCAGTTGCACCTATTGTCAGAGCCCATCCAGGCTCCTGGACCTTCGGGATAGGAAAGATGCAGATGCCAGAACCAACCTGCTGGGAGCCATGGAACAGCAAGCTGGCAGCAGTGCGTCATGGGATGGAGATGAAGGGAAACAGGCCTTCAGGGCCTTTGGAACAAGTGTGACCAAGGCAGAGTGTCTGTCAGTAGGCTGGGAGGAGGAGGAGAAGGAAGACCGTGAAGGAAGCCACACCGGGTGCCTTTGGCAGGAATAGCTGGCCGAGGTTTGTGGTGGGATGGCCCACCAGGCTGGAAGCAAGGCAAGTCAGGCCCTGGCAGGGGAGGCCAGGAATGAGAGACCAGGAAGTGGCCAAATGATGGTGGGGAGGAGAGGAGAGGAGGAGGCAGCCTCAGGCAGAAAGAAAGCTCAGAACACTGGCTCTGGGAAGGAAAAAGTTAGTCATGGCTGCACAGGTGTTGACCCTGTGCTCTGGACACTACCTGGGTGACCTCACTAAGTCCTCAGACAGCCAACCTTGCTTGACTCCAGGTTCTTGCCCTCTGGCTTCCCTTCCAGCATTAGTGCCACCTGTGTGGCTTTGGGGTTGTTCAGTGACCAGATGTGGTCCCCCCCTACCATAGCCATGTCCACACCCTGCTTCTCAGAGGCAGGAAAGTAGGAGGCCATCCAAGGAGATGGTTCCTGTGGGATGTGCCCTGGGCAGGATGCTGGACAGGTCATCATGGAGTGAGGGTGGGATGGAGCTAGTCCTCTGAACTGACCAGCCCCTCCTGCCCTGCTTATTCTGATAACATAACCCATCTACAGCTGAGTCACCCAATGAGTTATTATTTGTCATAGTCACCTTCGAGCCTTGGGTTGAGCAGGGCCTCTTGAGGCCACCTGGATCAGGATGTAGGGCTTCCTTCACAAGCTTTCATTTGAGGTTGATAGTCTTAGGCAGCAGCAAGTTTCAGGGAAGAACCAGCCTGGAACCCTTGGGCTCTGTCAAGGGCCACTCTTTGGCCTGGGGAGAGGCCACAGTTCAAGGAACACCTGGAACCAGAACAACTCAGCAGCTTGGTTCCGCAGCTGCTGTGGATGAGGAAAGAGCAAGGATTCAGCCGAGGCTGAGCTTCCCAAAGGGGCATTGGCAGAAACCAAAGTGCCAAGTTGGGAGAGGGACAGATGGGGTCATTTGTGTGCACATGTACTCATACAGGGGTAGGGGGTGCTGTTGCTTAGAGAACAGAGGAGGCTGCTGCTGCTGTCCCTCAGGATATGGAAAGGATGGAGATGACACATCCCAGGAACCCTACTAGGAAAGGGGGCTCATGTGACTGGCACAGTGATGCTCAGAGAGGAAAAAGGTGGCAGGTGGGACATGGTGGAAAGCAGATAAAGCATCAGAGCAGGGTGAGCAGGGAGGAATGTGGGCAGCTCTGGGCAATATGAAGACCCCTCAGAACTGGAGACTGGATGGACAGGGTGGAAGGGGTGGGGGAAGATAAAGGAGATGACCCAGACAGGAGGGGAGGAGGCTGAGCCGTGGGCATAAAGACTTGGGTGACAGGTAGATGTGGGGATTGAGAGGCACGAGTCGCTGGAGCCATCTGGGTATACTGGGGTACGCGCATCTTGGCTGGACCAAATCGGGGCACGGGGGCCCTCGACTTTTTCCTATCTTCCTGCCTTAGAGCCCTGACTGCCCTTCCTGAGGGAGCGGTGTCCTGACCCTGCCCATCCCCCGTTATCAGAAAAAGCAGTGTTGGGACACAGGCCCCCAGAGCCCTGCCCCACCCCCATGAATCACCAAAGAACACTAGCAACAGCACAACTTTATTGGTGGCTTAGACTGGGGGGTGGTAACTAAGGCCGGTCTTCCTGACACGAGAAGACGGGCCACCGGCGCTGAAGGCTGGGAACACCGCGCTCGGCGGTCAGATTTTGCCTGGGAAAGTCCCTTGCCTGATCTGCTCGTTCCAGCGCTGCACCTGGAGAGGAGCAGCGGGCCGCCTCAGCTCAGCCCCAGCCCTCCGCCCCTCCGCCCGCGCCCCTCGCCCGCTCACCCAGCTGATGGGGCACAGCGAGCGGTACACGCGGAAATAGTACTGGCAGGGCTCGGTGCTCTTCCCGCGGCGGCTCGTCTTCTTGAGGCAGCGGTGGTACTCTGCGCAGTGCCGCGGGCGGGTCACCTGGCAGGCCCCGCCCAGGACCCTGGCCCGCGCCCCGCGCCACACCGCGCCCCCCAGACCCGGACCCGCCGTCTGCAGGCCCGGGCCGGCCCGCCCCGCCCACCCCCAGCTCCGCTCTCCACTGACGCCCCGCCCCCTCTAGCTCGCCCCGCTCCTCGCTCCGCTCCCCCAGGGCTCGGCGCCCCTCCAGGCCAGACCTCCCCCGCACTCCGGCCCCGCCCCTCGCGCTCCGGCCCCGCCCCTCGCACTCCGGCCCCGCCCCTCGCGGGCCAGGCCCCGCCCCAGGCTCAGCCCGTACCCCGACCCCCTAACGGTCTGGGCGACTCCAGGTGGGCCCCGCCTGCCCGCCTCCCTCGTCGCTCGCCCTGCTCCCCTCTAACCTGGCCCACCAGGTCTCACCCAGGAAGTTCTGGTAGCAGTTACGGGTCTGGTTCTGGTTGGGGAAGCGCGGGTCGAAGGGCGGAGTCGTCCATTTCCCCCTGGGGGGCTTCTGGGTTTCAACGTCCAGTATCCTCTGAGGACTTACCTCCTGCGGGGCAGGAGGGGGTTCCGTGGGGCTCTGACCGCACCCAGTTCCTGAGCCCATCCTGAGCACCTGTCCTGCCCTCACCAGACTGATGTCCACGCGTCGTCGGTCCACTGTGCTTGGGGTTCCCGGGAGCCTCTGGCTTCTGAGGGGGGGCGGTTTCCGCCCAGCTCAGGAAAACATGGCCCTCAGATCGGATTGGCTGGGACCCCAACAGACCCATCCAATGGGAGCCGTTGCGGGGCCGGACTGGGACGCGGGCGGGGACAGTGCAGACTGCCTCCAGGCTGGGACGGACGCCCCCTCGGGGGCCGCGCACACACACACAGGCACTGAGGCGGACTTTGGCTGAGTCTCAGACTCGGGCTTTTAATCTCTGCGAATTTGGGCTACTCCGCGGGCTCTCCCTGCCCCGCCCCCCCAAAAATATAAACTTATAGATAACTCTGGTCTCTACCGGAGAGGGAAAATCCCCCCGCCTGGACTTTCCAGCATTCTGCATCCTACAGTAGGGGTGCACAGCACCCTGGGGCCTGTAGAAGAGGAGAAAGGGAAGGTGAGGTCACAGCTTCCAGGAAACCCACCAGGGCTAGGGCCAGGTCTAATACAAGTAGTATCCGGGTCTCAGGGGTACCTGGCCCCGCTGGGCTCCTCTGGACAGTTTGCCGACTGAGAGCAAGTTCTCTGCAACCTGCTATTCAAAGTGCTGGGAACTTGGCATGCTGCAAAGACAGAAAAGCCAGAGAGGACCTTGGGGGACTGTCAAGGACATCTGAAACCAAGGCTCTAAGTATATCACCGAAAAATACCTATTACATAAAACTTACCACTCTGATTTACAGTGTACCCCTTAAATTAGCATTCAGTACATTCAAACCGTGAAATCACATCACATCCAGTTCCAGAGTGTTCTCATCACTTCAAAAGAAATCTTTTTTTTTTTTTTTTTTTTTTTTTTTAAAGAGAGAGAGAGAGAATTTTTAATATTTATTTTTCAGTTTTCGGCAGACACAACATCTTTGTTTGTATGTGGTGCTGAGGATCGAACCCGGGACGCACGCATGCCAGGCGAGCGCACTACTGCTTGAGCCACATCCCCAGTCCTCAAAAGAAATCTTAATCCATTAGCAGTCACTCCCTATTCCTGCACCTTCAGCCCCTGAAAAACCCCTTCCTGTCTTCACAAATTCACCTACTTGTGGACATTTTGTGGAAATGGAACCCTACAAAACAGGGCCCATTATGTCCAGTTCCTGGCACTTGCCATAACATTTTTAAGGTTGCCCAGTATTGCAGCCTGGTGGCTTCCCCTTCTGTGCCCTCTCCAGGCCTGCTTCAGTCAGGCCTTCTCCAACATGTCTCCTCCCTGCGGAGACCCATGGGTCCTGTCTCAGTCCTGCCTCCTTCTTGCAGCATATGACATATGGTCCCCTGCTCCTCCTCCCTCATTACCTTCTTCAGACAGCATTCTGGATGCTCCTGCCTTTTGCTATTCTACTGTCTGACTTTGGTTCTTCTTTTTCTTAACAACTTGGGCTGTCTCTTCATTTCTATTTACTGGTGACCTCCATCAGTGACCCTTCCATAGGCAGTGACACCCCAAATTGCTTCCTCTGAATTCCAGAATCATGTTATCCAACTACTACCCCATGGCTTCCCTGACCATCTCAGAATTGAGATGCAGCACAGAATTCACAATCTTCTCCCCAGCCTCTTTGATCCCCATGATCCCTCTGCTCTTAGCTCCCACCCTTGCCCCTCTGCATTCATACCCCTAGCCAGAGAGCCCTTTCAACGTAAATCAGTTCCTGCCATTATCATTTTTTTTTTTTTTTTGAGGGAGGGATACTGAGGATCGAACTCCAGGGCACTTGACCACTGAGCTGCATCCCCAGCCCTATTTTGCATTTAGAGACGAGGTCTCACTGAGTTGCTTAGGATCTCACTAAGTTGCTAATGCTGGCTTTGAACTCAAGATCCTCCTGCTTCAGCCTCCCAAGCCACTGCAATTACAGGTGTGTGCCAACGCACCCAACATCTTTTTTTTTTAATATATATTTTTTAGTTGTAGATGGACACAATACCTTTGTTTATTTTTATGTGTGCTGAAGATCAAACCCAGTGCCTCACACATGCTAGGCAAGCACTCGATCACTGATCTACAGCCCCAGTCCCAGTTCCTGCCACTCTTGTGCCCCAAACCTTCTAGTTTATTCAGCATCAAAAGCTACAATCCTTAAACTTTTCTGCAAAGTTCTGTATGATGGGACCCTGACTGCATTTCCCACATCTGGACTCCTGGACTCACTCGGTGCACACAAGCACTCTGCTCCTGCCTTGGTACTCAGCAGAGGCCTTCAGGTGTTTACACAAATGACTCCAGCTCCATACTGCCTCCCTGGCCACCTGCACTATGGTGGGGCTGTCCCTGACTTGTCCCTGCCCACTAGGTGCCAGCAGCATACCCCATGTTCACCCTCACTGTTGGATGCTGCATCCCTCCTGCCTAGAACAACACCCAGACACAGTAAACACTGATGCAGGTTAGCTCAGCAGGCCCTGGGCCCTGGCGACAACCACCCAGATATACATAAACATAGAGTCTATCTAAGGTGACATCAGGGAACAGATCCCCACTCTCCTGCAGACTAAGGAGTTGACAATAAGCATTAGCAGCTGATCCCAAGTACCTGGGCGATGGGTGAAAGGAGCCCTGTTCTTCCGTTGTTATCTCTGCCTTGGTGACCACATCACTCCTATCGTCAATTTCCAAGAGCACAGGCCGGAGAATTTCTGAGGATGATCCCGCCTTGGCCAGAGGATGCTGGCTCAGCATGCTTTCAGGTTCTTGAGATATTCTCCTGGCCAGTTGGGGAGTCCTGACTGAGCCTGGCGTCCTGACTGAGCCTGGCGTTCTAACTGAGCCGGGCACCCTGACTGAGCCGGGAGCGCTGACTGTGCCAGGTGTGCTGACTGTGGTGGGCATCTTGACTGAGCCAGGCTCGCTGACTGTGGTGGGTGCCCTGACTGAGCCTGGTGCGCTGACTGTGGTGGGCGCCCTGACTGAACCAGGCATGCTGACTGTGGCGGGTGTCTTGACTGAGCCTGGCTCACTGACTGTGCCTGGCGCCCTGACTGAGCCTGGTGCGCTGACTGTGGTGGGTGCCCTGACTGAGCCTGGTGCCCTGACTGAGCCTGGCGCACTGACTGTGGTGGGCGCCCTGACTGAACCAGGCATGCTGACTGTGGCGGGTGTCTTGACTGAGCCGGGCTCACTGACTGTGCCAGGTGTCTTGACTGAGCCAGGCATCCTGAGTGAGACCCGGGTCCTGACTGAGCCAGGGGACTTGAGCGAGCCCCGGGTCCTGACTGAGCCAGGGGACTTGAGCGAGCCCCGGGTCCTGACTGAGCCAGGGGACTTGAGCGAGCCGCGGGTCCTGACTGAGCCAGGGGACCTGATGGAGTCCACGATTCTGACTGAGCCCGGGCTCCTGGAGGTGGGGGCTGCTTCCAGGGGAGATTGTGACGTCAAGTCTTCCCACCCTGAGGCAGGCAGGGCGATGGGAACCTGGGGGTCATCGACTATCTTTGGGCCATCAGAGATTGGCACAGAGTAGAGGGTCACCTTAGAAGGCTCCACTGGGTCCCAGGGTGGTTCCTTCTCGGTCCATTTCTTCTCCTTCACCCAGGTGTGTGACTCTGGCTGCTCCCTGACAATCACTGGTGGCCCATCCATGAAGGTCAGCTGGCTGGGACTGAAGGGCAAGGGGGCCTTTGTGGACACAGTGGATGTTCCAGAAGCCACCGAGAGCCAAGAGGGCAGTGAGACCTCAGGCAGTCTCAAGTGCTTCTCTTTGGAGTTGGCTATGATCATCAGCTTGGCCATCGCCAGCCCCTCCACGGAAAAGGGCCTGCTCTGCTCCTGCGGGGGGCCCTCAATGGCCATCTCCCTGGTCTTGATCCATTTCTTCTGATGCTCCACCTCCTTGGACTTCATGCCAGGCAGATCCAGGGTCAACTCCTCCTTCATCCTGTAGGCCCTGTCTTCCAACATTCCTCTGCCCCTGAAGCCATCCAGGGTAAGCTCCCGGGCCTTGCTGATCAAAATGTCCTCAGACTCCTTCTTGGTTGTGGTGAAGGGTAGCTCCAGAGACATCATCTGGGTCCTCATCTCCACCTTATTTATCTCCTGGTCTCCCAAGAAGACCACAGGCTTGGACTTCTCTTCAGACCTGCCTCTCTCCAGCCTGTCCCCTCCAGGAATTCCCACTGTCAACACTTCTGGCTTGGCAGCGGCCTTCTCCTGCAAGGTGGACAGGCCCACTGCCGGCTGGTACTGGGGAAGTGAGGCAGGAGCCTTACAGGAAGGTGCAAGTGAGAGTAGAGGTTCCGTCTGTGGGGGAGGGGGAATAGCAGAGGGAGGCAGGGCCTGCTGAGATGAAGGGAGGGTCTTTTGGGGAGGGAAATACAGGGCTGGGGTCTTCCGGGAAATAGTTGATGCAGGTGGCAGCTTTTGTGACGGGCCACCTCCAGTTGTGGCCTTCTGGAATGGAGCACGAGTTGCTGGGGACCTCCGGGATGGAGCAGGGATTGCCGGCACCTTCTGGGACTGGTCTACGATGAAGGGTGCTTTCAGGGTCGTGGTTGGGGCAGGCATGGCCTTGTGGGAGAGTGGTGGGCTTGTGCCCTGCTGGGAGGCCATGCTCTTGGCCTTGTCACGGGGCTCAGGAAAAGAGATACGAGTTGGAAAGAGGTACATGGGTGGTGGGTAAGGAGATGGACCCAAGGAGGAAGAGGATAAAGTGCTGGACTCCGGGTCCATTAGTTCTTCAATGTCTTGCTTCCACAGGAGTGTCTCTAAGTGATCATAGGAGCCCAGGAAGGTGAAATCGGGGCCTTCATTGGAGATACGGCGGGTCGGGTTTTTAATCACACCTCCCTTGCCTGGGGCCTCATCAGAATCAGATGTGCCGGGCTGTAGATGGGTGGAGGGATGAATGGTCAGGGCCACAAGAGACCACAGACTCAGGAGTCCTGCCTGAGTTCCCCTCCCCTAGGCCTCAGACCCAGGGGGCCACCCCCCAGCCTCCTCCCTCAGACCCAGGAGTCCAGGCCCAGCCTCCTCCCTCAGACCCAGGAGTCCAGGCCCAGCCTCCTCCCTCAGACCCAGGAGTCCAGGCCCAGCCTCCTCCCTCAGACCCAGGGTCCAGGCCCAGCCTCCTCCCTCAGACCCAGGGGTCCAGGCCCAGCCTCCTCCCCCAGACCCAGGGGTCCAGGCCAGCCTCCTCCCTCAGACCCAGGATCCAGCCCCAGCCTCCTCCCCCAGACCCAGGGGTCCAGGCCCAGCCTCCTCCCTCAGACCCAGGGGTCCAGGCCCAGCCTCCTCCCTCAGACCCAGGTATTGGGGCCCCAGCCTCTTCCCTCAGACCCAGGGGTCCAGGACCCAGCCTCCTCCCTCAGACCCAGGGGTCCAGGCCCAGCCTCTTCCCTCAGACCCAGGGGTCCAGGCCCAGCCTCCTCCCTCAGACCCAGGTATTGGGGCCCCAGCCTCTTCCCTCAGACCCAGGGGTCCAGGACCCAGCCTCCTCCCTCAGACCCAGGGGTCCAGGCCCAGCCTCCTCCCTCAGACCCAGGTATTGGGGCCCCAGCCTCTTCCCTCAGACCCAGGGGTCCAGGACCCAGCCTCCTCCCTCAGACCCAGGGGTCCAGGACCCAGCCTCCTCCCTCAGACCCAGGGGTCCAGGCCCAGCCTCCTCCCTCAGACCCAGGGGTCCAGGCCCAGCCTCCTCCCTCAGACCTGAAAGTCCTGATTCCCAGCCCTCCTCCCTCAGACCCAGGGGTCCAGGCCCAGCCCCCTCCCTCAGACCCAGGGGTCCAGGCCCAGCCTCCTCCCTCAGACCCAGGGGTCCAGGCCCAGCCTCCTCCCTCAGACCCAGGGGTCCAGGCCCAGCCTCCTCCTTCAGACCCAGGGTCCAGGCCCAGCCTCCTCCCTCAGACCCAGGGGTCCAGGACCCAGCCTCCTCCCTCAGACCCAGGGGTCCAGGACCCAGCCTCCTCCCTCAGACCCAGGGGTCCAGGACCCAGCCCTCCTCCTTCAGACCCGGGGGTCCACCCCCCAGCCTCCTCCCTCAGACCCAGGGTCCCCTGGAGTATAGCTGGCCTTAGAGGACTGTGACTTGTTGATGGTGTTGGAAATGATGCTGAAGATGGTGCGGATGGTGATACTGGCCTTTCCTGGTGGGAGAAAGTGGACTAAGCCCTTGGAGAGAAGCCGAGCCAGGCCCACATGTGGGAGGGAGCAGAGGAAGGGAGTTGCTCCTACCAGAAATGTGGACTTGGGTGTTGGACTTGTCAGGATGGACATCTGGGTGGGACCTGTAGGAGCAATATTGTGGGACTTTGGTGGAACCCGAGCCAAAGACCTGCTCCATGTGCTGCCCCCCACCAGCAACAAGCCTGCACCCACTTCTCCGTGGCTTTCTTCTGATCGCCTGCATGATCCAGGTGGGACCAGACGAGAGGCACGGAGTCACCCACAGCCTGAGACTTGAATCTTCGCTTGAGGGCCTGGAAGTGGGTGGAGGGAGACAGTCAGAGATAGGGCAGCCCCATCCCAGTGCCCGGCCCACTGGCCTGCCCCGTGGGCTCACCTTGGTCTTCTTCTTCTTCTTCTGAGAGGCCAGCGTCTTATAAGGAAAGGTGGGCTCAGGGACTGCACCTGGAGAGAGAGCTGGAAAGAGAGGTGGAGCGAGGAGGGTCAGGACAGGACATGGGGACAAGGCCCTGAGGAGAACAAGCAGGGCCCACCCAGGGGAGAGTAGGGACCCAGTCCAAGTGCTGGCGCTTCCACAGGGAAGGCACCTGGCCCATCAAGAAGGGCCTAACAGATGGCAGAGCCCGCTTACCTGTCTGTCTGATGTGGGCCTGCTCCTGTGGACAGGGAGGGGCCAGTCAGGAGGGGTCACAGGCCCTGGTTGTACACTTCCATGGCCCACCCAGCCAGCAGTCTCATCCCCAGCCCCTCCTCCCTCAGACCCAGTGGTACGGACCCCAGCCCCTTTGCTGGGACCGTGGGACTTTAGACAGTAGGTCCCAGCTCCTCATGGAGTTGGAGCTCTCTGCCTGAGATCTGCGTGTTAGGGCCCCACCTGGAGGTGCCAGGTAGAAGCAGGCGCTGTGGCCAAGGATATGTCCAGGGGGGGTGTTTGCAGGGTCCTGGGGGCCCAGGTGGTGGCAGGCTCCCGAAGCAAGTTGATGAGGCGGATCCAGCGGTTGAACAGGAAGCCCACCTCATGGTCGGGGGCGTCTAGCTCCAGGTAGTAGCAGCGGCCAGTGACCAGGCGCAGTTTCAGGCGCCAGGAGGACAGATCATGGACATAGAGGTGGACAAGGTCTAGTGGGATCATCCTGGGGAGGCAGAGACAGCCAGCTAGAGCTGGAGGTGGGGGAGGGTGTGGCAGGGATGGGGGCAGGAAGGCACCTGGTCAGAACGAGGCCGGAGGCGTCCTTGCCCTCTGCGGGCTGAGCAATCAGCAGGATGTCGGGCAGCATCAGGCCTGGCAGGGAGGCAGCCACGCCTATGGTCAGCCGGTTAGCTCTGTGATGCACGAACACGGGGCCCCCACGATTTGTTACCTGGGGTGGCCAGGGAGAGGGGCTGGAACCGAAACTTTCTCCAACACGCCTCTAGCATCCTCTGCCTGAGCCCCCTTCCAGCCCACTCCCCGACCCTCTTAAACCCCCACCAATGGTCTCAACCCTCCTGCCCCCTCAGCCCACAGAGCACAGGGAGTAGGGGACCTGGACAAAGTTACTCTCGAACATGGGCAGCGGGCGGAGGGGCAGGTACTCGCCCTTCTGGAGGGTCTTCTGCAGCTCCCCCAGAATAGGGACCCACTTTTGAGGGGTCTGGTGCTGCTGGGGATGCCGGATGTTCCAAAGCTGGTTCATGATGGCTGCAGAGCATTGGGTGAGGTATGAATTAGGGATCTGAGACCCAGGACCCAGCACGCCCCTGTTCCACCCTGGCCCACTGGCCTGGGCCCCTTGGGCTTCACGGGTGGTGGGAGCTCAGTGGTCACAGAGAGTGGAGCTTCCCCAGGGCCGGGAGACTAGGGTTGTGGCCATGGCCCTGCTGGGGTGGACAGCACTGAGCTGGGGGAGGAGCCTTTGGTGGAGGGCTTTGTGACCTCAACAGACACACAGGGGACTCTTCCTGGGAACTCTTCAGGAGCCCTGTCCTCCAGGGGTATGACCTGGAGTCTTCAGGGTGGGGATGGGTGAATCAAAACCCCAGACCCAGGGTGGGGTCCAGACCCATTGCACCCTCCAGAGCTAAACCTGTGACAAAACAAGGCCCCTTGGGGGTGGGTGTCTGGCTACTGTAAGGGGACCATTAACCAAAGGAATGAGAGGCCTTCCCGCTCTGCCCCTGGCCTGCTCTAGTCCCTGTGTGAGACCCAAACTCACGCTGAGCCTCAGTTTCCTCACGTCTAACAGTGTGTGGGCCACGTCAATAGTCCCTGTCACCAAGCTGTACAGAGTGGGATGCCAGCCAGCTTTGGAATGAGTCCAACCAGACTACCATCAGTTTCATCCCCTTAGCTGTGTGACTGCGAGGAATTTCCCTCACTTATGAGGTGGGGCATGTTCCAGGGTCCGGGGGACCATCTAAGAGCCCACAGGCAGAGCACAGCCCAGGGCTGTGGCTCAACCCATGGTCTTTATTATTTAGATTTTTTTTGGGGGGGATGGGAAGGTAAGACTGGCATTCCATCATTCTAAAAATAGTGTTTATTATTATTTTAAAATGTGTCATGCAAAATACAGTCATAGTAGAAATTCTGGAAAATACAGACAAGAGCAAACAATGAAAGTCACCCGCATCCCATCCCTCACTTCCACCTAGCCAGCCACTGTCAACATTCGGTGTATTTCCCTCTGGCATTTTTCAAAATCCATAGATAAAGCGAAATGCAAAACCCTCAGTGGTTCTGCATCCTGCTGTTTCAGGCCACAGGGCATCTTTGGGTGTCTCAGCAGCCCAGTCTGAAGCCTCCTGTGGGGCCAGAAGACACTCCATGCTGTGGGTGCTGTGCTCTAGTTAAACATCTCCCCACGGCTGGGCATCTAAATTATTTCCAACTTGTCATAGGAAGCAATGCCAAAATGAACAGCTGCCAGCCTGCAGCTCTGCCCCATGCAGGTCCTGTCAGTCACAGGGTAACCTTCCGGAACCTTCCATTAAATATTTATTGAACACCTTGAAGTGCTGGGCGCCAGACAAGGCCCAGACCCATGTTTCCTTAGCGTTCTCTGAGTAGCTGACCAGTCTCCCCTCCCCTGCCCACTCAGGACCTCCGCCTCCCCCTGCACCAGGGACCCCAGCATCCAGGCCCCCAACCCTCAAGAGAATCCACCTCTAAGTGCATAGGTATGACAAGTTTAATTCCCCATTGTCTCACAAAGGTTTCTCACATTTTTGTATAAAAACCCAGGCTTCCTTCCCCCCTCCCCACCATAACATAAAAAGTAATTGTTTAATAAATAATATACACTCCTGCCCAGGCCCAGAGGGGCAGAAGCCAGGAAGACACTGTGGAAAGATTTCTTAGAGATCCAAGAATCCAGGATCCTGGTTCCCTTCTCCTTAGTCCACCTGCCTCCCACCCCCGACTCCTTAAATAAATAAGTATAAATAAGGCACACATGCCCCCCACCCAAGTCTCCTGGAGGGACTGTATCTAACTATGGTGGGTAATGAGAGGGGCCATCCCCTGCCCTCACACCCTAAGTACTGAAATAAATAAATAAATAAGATGTGGCTTTTAAGGACGACGGTGGCTTTAGGTCCCAGGTCATAGCCGAGTCTTCAGCAGCAGCAGCCCCCGAACGGCCCAGTCCAGGGTCAGGTGCAAACCCCCTAGGATGGCGTGAGCCGCCCTGACGCCTCCCCAGGCTGAGGCAGGTGGGGCTAGGGGAGGCGCTGGTGGGTCTGGGGCCGACTGGGGCAGGGCCAGGCGGGACATCTGTCAGGAGGGGACAGAGGTGAGAAAAAGGTAAGGAATGTGGTGGAGTTCTGGGGAAAGGGGATATTTAGGGGCAGCCTGGGGGCATATTTGCAGTCTCTGGTATGTGAGATGAGGGGTTAGGGAAGGAAGGTCTCCAGGAACTAAAAAATTGAGACTGATGTCAAAAGGTTGTCATCTTAAGGTCAGCCTCCAGGACCCTGTTTTGGGGGTTGGGAGAGAGGTCTGTAAAGTTGGGGCTGGGCTCCTGGTGCTTTCTAGTGAGGGCTGGGGCCTCTTGGGGTAGTCAGGTCTGGAATTTTGGAGCTAGGTCTCCAGGGTCTGTGCACTCAAGTCTGGGGTCAGGCCCAGGATCTCAGGGCTATAGTTTCAGATGTATTGTCTCTAGGACCATCATTCTAAAAACAGGGTTTATTATTTTTAGGGACTCATTATTCGGGACTCATGGGTGGGCTGGGGTCTCAAATCTGGGATCTCAGAGCTAGGAGCTAGAATTAAAGATCTGAGGTCTTAGGAGTCAGGTTCAGGAACTGGGGCCCAAAGTCTTCCAGTCTCTTTGGGGCTTTGGAGGTCAGATCTCACGGTCTTACACAATCAAGATCTGAGACTGAGATATTTTTGACCATGGAAGAGAGATATGGGGTCCCAGGCTCAGGGTCTGGGGTCTGCAGGTTTGAGACTTTGGGGTCTCGGTATTTGAAATCTGGTCTTAAGGCTGGTTGGGTCAGGGTTGCTCAGTGTTAGGAGCTCTGGCTGGGACTTTGAGGGTCACTGCCTTGGGACTAGGGTGTCCAAGTCTGGGGGTAAGGATTTAGGTTCTCAAGTCTCCCCCAATCCTGGGGACCTTGGGTCTTGGGGTTCTCTGAGTACAAGGTCTAACTTCAGAACAAAACCACAGGCTCTGAAGTCTCAGTCTCAGGGTCTGGGACCCTGGGGACATGAGGGGGCTCAGGGTCTTGGGGTGAGAGTTTGGGGCTTGGAGGAAGTATTTTGGGGTCTGGGGTCTCAGGACCACAGGACCCTGTGTGTCTCAGGGTCAGGGTCTCAGAGCAGAGATCAGGTTTGGGGTCTGGGTTTCTAGGGTCAGCCTGGGATCCTGGTATCTCAGGATTCAAGGTCTTGGGCTATAGGTTCTAGGGATCTCAAGGATCAGGGTGGGTGGTGTAAAATCTGGGAGCTAAGGCATACCAGGAGCTGCAGCCGTCGCAGGAGCCGGTCCAGCCGAGCCTGCAGAGCACCCAGCTCCGGTTCCAAGGTCTTCAAGGAAGGGCCACCAGCCCTGCGCAGCCACTGCACGTGCCGCAGGTAGGAGAGCAGATCAGCTCGAAGCCTAGTCAGCACTCCTGGCAGCTGGGAAGCAGGTTGGGGCCTCAGGACACAGCTGGTACATGCCTGTGCAGCCCCCAACCCCCTGACCCCCAAACCCCAGTCCTTACCTGCAGTGCTCCCAGTGCCCCTGCACTCATGGCCAAGGTGGGCAGGGATTCCAGGTTGTGGTCTCCTTCTGCAGGGAATTTGTCTCTCTGGTGGGAAAGAGGCTTTGAGCAGCTTCCTATATTTCCCACCTCTGGTCCCAAACTCTCGGTCCCCGCCATGCTGGGTGCCTAGAAGCTCTCCAGGTGGCATGCTGGAAGACACCCCCCCACCCCGTGACTCTCATATCTGTCACTGCTCCAGCCCATTCCCTTCAGGCTCCTACCAGCTGTGCGGCCAGCTGCCGAGTGTCTGCCAGGAGGGAGCGTGTCAGGAGCACCGCACTGTCCAGGTCTGCTCGAGGGTCTGGGGGAACTCGAGGGGGACCAGGAGGTGGCCCAGGGGCAACAGCTCTATCTAACCGGAGGCTCAGCACCACCAGGACCAAGTGGCAAACACCTGAAGGCAGGAGGGCACAGAAGGCTCAAGCTGGAACCCGGGTCCGAGGGGAAGGCTGGGCTCCGCACTCCGGGTTCTCGCAAGGAGGGGCTGAGGTCGTGAGTCTCTGGGTGGAGCGCCCGGGGGCAGTTCGCAGGGCCCAGGCGGGCTGCCCTCTCCCTCCCTGACTCTGGCTGCCCCGCCCGTCGGAGCAGACGCGGCCCGGGGCGGGTAGACGGGCCGGGCGTCTCCCGTCCGCCCCCGGACGCCGGAATCTGGGCCCCGGGGCGGGGCATGAGGGGGAGGCACAGGCCAGAACCTGCCCCCTCCCCGGCCGGGGAGCCCAGCGGGCTGGGAGCAGGGGAAGGAGCCAGGGGCTCGCAGTGAGACCCGGACGCACCGACCCCTCCCCCGGGAGGGCTCCGAGGTCCCCAGCTAGGCCCGCCAGAGTGGGCGCGGGAGGCTGGGCCGCAGCGCCGGGCAGGACTCGGGCGCACCTGGGCGGCGAGGTACCGAGCGACGCGCACAGCCAGAGACAGGCGCTCGGGGCGCGGGGGCTCCGGCCGCGCGCTCGCCGGCTGCCCATCCCCCAGCTGCCCCGCCCACTCCCGCGATCGCCAGCCAATCAGCGCCCCCCGGCCCGCTGCGCTCCCTTATCACACCCCCAGCCCGCCCCCTGGTCCCCTCTGGCCGAGGTCCATCCTCCCGCCCCTTCCAGGCCGGCGGTCTGTCCGTGCGTCTGCCCTGCAGCCGAGTCTGTGTCTCTCCGAGCTTCTTTCCGCACTCCTGTCTGTCTCTGTTCCCCTGCCTGGGACCCGTGCTCCCAGGATTGCTCTCATGTTCTAGGACTCTCTGCCTCAGTTTCCCTCGCTGAGCCTCCGTCGGGGTCCCCGGGCTCTTTGGGATCACCTCCCAGCATCTGTCCCTCTGTCCCTGTGTGGCCTGTCCCTCTCTGCTGTCTGATTTGCCCTTTCATCTGTCTCTCTGCTCATCTCTCCTCTTGGCTCCTACTTTCTCTGAATATTCTTTTTCTCTGACTCCCTCTCTCCTCTGTCCTCTGTCCCTCCCTCG